CCCCCCCCCCCCCCCCCCCCCCCCCCCCCCCCCCCCCCCCCCCCCCCCCCCCCCCCCCCCCCCCCCCCCCCCCCCCCCCCCCCCCCCCCCCCCCCCCCCCCCCCCCCCCCCCCCCCCCCCCCCCCCCCCCCCCCCCCCCCCCCCCCCCCCCCCCCCCCCCCCCCCCCCCCCCCCCCCCCCCCCCCCCCCCCCCCCCCCCCCCCCCCCCCCCCCCCCCCCCCCCCCCCCCCCCCCCCCCCCCCCCCCCCCCCCCCCCCCCCCCCCCCCCCCCCCCCCCCCCCCCCCCCCCCCCCCCCCCCCCCCCCCCCCCCCCCCCCCCCCCCCCCCCCCCCCCCCCCCCCCCCCCCCCCCCCCCCCCCCCCCCCCCCCCCCCCCCCCCCCCCCCCCCCCCCCCCCCCCCCCCCCCCCCCCCCCCCCCCCCCCCCCCCCCCCCCCCCCCCCCCCCCCCCCCCCCCCCCCCCCCCCCCCCCCCCCCCCCCCCCCCCCCCCCCCCCCCCCCCCCCCCCCCCCCCCCCCCCCCCCCCCCCCCCCCCCCCCCCCCCCCCCCCCCCCCCCCCCCCCCCCCCCCCCCCCCCCCCCCCCCCCCCCCCCCCCCCCCCCCCCCCCCCCCCCCCCCCCCCCCCCCCCCCCCCCCCCCCCCCCCCCCCCCCCCCCCCCCCCCCCCCCCCCCCCCCCCCCCCCCCCCCCCCCCCCCCCCCCCCCCCCCCCCCCCCCCCCCCCCCCCCCCCCCCCCCCCCCCCCCCCCCCCCCCCCCCCCCCCCCCCCCCCCCCCCCCCCCCCCCCCCCCCCCCCCCCCCCCCCCCCCCCCCCCCCCCCCCCCCCCCCCCCCCCCCCCCCCCCCCCCCCCCCCCCCCCCCCCCCCCCCCCCCCCCCCCCCCCCCCCCCCCCCCCCCCCCCCCCCCCCCCCCCCCCCCCCCCCCCCCCCCCCCCCCCCCCCCCCCCCCCCCCCCCCCCCCCCCCCCCCCCCCCCCCCCCCCCCCCCCCCCCCCCCCCCCCCCCCCCCCCCCCCCCCCCCCCCCCCCCCCCCCCCCCCCCCCCCCCCCCCCCCCCCCCCCCCCCCCCCCNTTCGGCCAGAGTAGCAGCGGAGGAAGAAGAAAGAAAACTAAAAATGAAGGAATAAAAAAAAATTCAAGAATAAGAAAGAGAAAATCGTCTGCTCTGCGGCATTGAGTGTAGGGGTTTGTGAGGCCAGGTCACCCCAAGAACTAGCCCTGGAACCCCTCTCACCCCTCCCTTACTCGTGTCTTAGTCGTTTCTTTTAACTGTGTAATCCTCCTTGGGTTAGTTTGTCCAGTTCCTTTTTCCCTCCTTCCTCCTGTGCACTTCCTCCCAACCCCTCCCCCCCTCCGTGCACCCCCTTCCGCCCCACTCGTTGCCCCTGGGAGCTACTGGGGACGTTAGCACGACCCATATTGCATCTGCCTATCTCTCTAACGACGCAAACAGCCAAGCTAATTTATATGAACACCGGTATAAAAACAGGAAAAAGAAAGGGGCCAAGGAGGATAGGATGGGGGGGGGTAAGGGGGTGGAGCAGGGGAGAAAAAGAAACAGGAAGAATGTGCTTGCAAGTTTCTCTAGTTCTCTTTGAGAATTAGAGCCTCCGGGTATACACCCTGCATTGAGCTGTTTTTTACCCATTTGATTTTTTTCCGCTCCTCTCTGTTCCGTAATTATACTTTCCAGTTAGGGAGAGATACACTTGGTTGTAGGTGAAATATAAACGTGGTGTTTAGGTTGGCGGCTGAGTGGTTTTCGAAGAGGGTGAAATGATGGAGGAGTGAGGGAGATTGCATGAAGAAGCGAAATAGCAGATGCTGGCATTTAGAATGGCGAAAAAAGGATTATTTGAGTGGGCTGAATGATAATCAGACTCGATAATAATATTGGGGAGATCCACAAGAACACGATTGCATGAAAATAATTATTCTGGAGCGCGGTAGCTCAAGAACTCGCTCAGAATTAATTCAAAGAAAAAAAAATATCGATCCATACTTTAGAATTATTTAAGTGTCTTCGTTAGTGGTAAAGAGTCAAGAGTGTATGGTTGGATGCGTGGGTGGTGGAAAAAAGTATAACGGAAGAAGTTGATAATGAAAAAAGGTTCAGTATCTGCTTCGCCTGTCCCTAGAGCAGTGATGGTTTTGGATCTGGATAATGGCTATGAATAATTATTCTTCTTATGTGAACATGTGAGCTCAAGAACTGGCTCACAGAAACTCAAAGAAGAAAAAACATCGATCAAAACTTCAGAAGTATTTCAGTGCTATCGTTAGTGGCAAAGAGTCAAGACTGCACGGGGGGGATGAAAGGATGAGAGAAAAAAGTGTAGCGGGAGAAGACGATGACAAAAAATAGGTTCAATATCAGACACAATGACTCGTCTGCTCTGAGCAGCTTTTTCCTCATTTGATGTTGCTTGCGCTCATCTCTGTTTCGTAATTAAACTCTCGAGTTGAGAAAGATTACACTGACAGTATGAACATAAATGTACTGTTTAAATGAGTGACTGAGTGGTTTTTAATGGGGAGGAGTGAGTGACGACGCATAAAGAAGGAGAACGGCAAAAGTTCTAACTGAATTTCGCTAATTCTGTAGTGAAGCAATCAGGCGGGGGAACGACGAAAAAATGATTATTTAAACGCTCCGAATGATGATTAAACCCGATAATAATCTTGAGGAAATCCCCAAGACCACGATTCTACGTAAATAATTCCTCTTTCCCTCCATAAAGTAACTTTCCCATTGATTGGAGCACGATAGCTCAAGAACTCGCTCAAAAGAAACTCAAGTAAAAAAAAACTTCGATCAAAACTTCAGAAGTATTTTAGTGCCTTCGTTAGTAGTAAAGAGTCAAGAGTGCACGGTTGGATGCATGGGTGGTGGAAAAAGTATAACGGAAACAGTCGATAACAAAAAAAGCTTCCATTCGGAAGCAAAAAAAGGTTCAATATCTGGTCCGGCTACGTCCCTAGAGGAGGGGTGGTTTCGCATCTCCACAATGACTCTGGTGAAAATTTTACGGGTACGCTTTGTACGACAATCGAAGAGGGAGTGGTGTACAGTATCTCGTGGGAATGGGCCATTGGATATCAACGATGAGAGGGTGAAAGTGTCGGGTATGAGGATATTCGAATGAGATTCGGTGCTGAGCGGATTCGGAGTGGACGTCCGTCGGTGAAAAAAAATAAGAGTTACCTCTCACATGTTGGCCTCATCGATGCTTAAAAATACACTCAAGTACTTTATCGTATTATCGTTTCAATGTACATTAGTGCGTATGTGTACATCTGTGTATATATGTGACATCAAGCTCAAAGCCGGTCACGAAAAGCCCTTTAGGGTGTAATCCCATCCCAAGAATACTTCGGAGAATTGAGAAAGTAGAAAATACGTCAATAGGATGTTTTTTTCCCTCCAATATCGGAAGAAGTCTATCAATTCGTTTATGAAATTGAGTCTTGAGTGGAGAAATCGGCGAACTGGAGAATTCGATCTATCGCGATGAAATTCTATTTCTACAGTTGCACGATGTAGGAAATAAGTCATTTATTAATTCTCAAATAAAGTCGCATCGATTGCAGCCAAGAGAGTTCCATGAAAGAAGCAAATCAATCTCTGCTGTATTGGAGGACGAACTACTCTCCGCTATTCTCGATATACTTGGTGGGTTATTCGAAGCAATGATGGATAATTCAACGCTGAACACGGATACAAATTCCGATATTGCGAATGATATCCGACAACTCCAAGTCGATTACGCATATCTCCAGAGTGTGAAACAATGAAAAAATAATTTGACATCGTCAACCTGCGCTGAATAATTAATACCCAATCACTGTTTTCCAAACTGCCTAATTGGCTGCTCCCATCAAACAAGCAGAACCAGACACCATCGTGAATAATTCTGATCATGAGAAATGTCATTGTGACCTTCCCTCGAAGAATCAATAGCACGAGTTACCACTAGATATCAACGAGGTCAACGAGTTGAAGTCACCAGTAGTCCTCATTACCCTCAAATCGTCAAGCTCTCCATCCCCCGCGGCAAATCAACAAGCCTTCAATAACCGAGAGTCATACAATCGCAAACGACTTCATCAGTCAGAAAGTGAACTGTCGAAATCATTAACGATCCCTCTCACCACTGCTAGCTCCAAAACCGACCGAATGGAGACGAAATTTACATATAGCCCAGATTCCCTGATTCCATTGCACCGTGTTGGCTGGATGGATCGGTGGATTATCATGTTTTTCACATGTAGAAAACGTTTAAATGCCCTGATTCTTCCTGAATAATTCCTGTGTTGGCCGAGTCATATTGGGTCCCTTCGAATTGATATTTCTCGTGCGGGATTACACATTACGGCGATAGTCACTCTAGGAGACCACTCAGATACCCTCGAAAAAATCTCATTCCCTCATTTCTTTCAACCCCCTCATTCCCTCCAAATACCTCACTCTCGGTATTTTTCCGATTCTTCAGCTCCCTTCCCCCCCTCCCCGCCCTTTACCATCACCAGTATCGTTTCCGGGTGTCTCCGTAGTACTCTTTACTGAACACATTGTAATTCCAACCGAACAGTTTCGCTAGCGGCAAGTTCCTACGTGCCCAGCATGTCAAATTCGACACATAAAACTGCAGTAGAGACAGTTACGGTGGGGCTAACGTATCGTCAGCACGTGCCACTGACATTGGCAAAAGAAAAGGGATGAAGTGAAGGGGTTGCGGGGGGTGTGGGATAGAAGAGAGACTACTAAGAGAAGTGGGATATAGGTTTGGCTTGAGCTTTTGTAGCTGTGTCATTGTTCCCATGTCGTTTCTTGGATAGCACGAACCGTGAGTAATTGGTATTGGGAGTCATTAAGGAAAAGATCGAGAGGTCTCAGTGACTCGAGATTAGATGTCGACAAATCACGTAGAATGTGAGTAAAAATAAACTAAAAAAATGGTACGTGCTGGGTATTATGATGGCTCATTATAACGTGGCTGTACTTACAATTGAAGTATAATAGGATACCAGCGACAAAAACGAAGATGACTATGAGAAGTATGAGGAAGAGCAGAAGAATCGTTGGTCTACACCATGGACTGCGCTGTACCTCAGTCTGTCTACCCTCCTTGGGATTCTTTTTCTGGTCTACAACACTCGATTCACCAGTAACATTAACTACAACACCCTTGTACGTGTACTGGGGTGCTTTTTTATCAGTACGAAATCCATGATCATCCTCGGGATCTGAGTATACACCGTATGCCTCGAAATTATTCTTTCTGTATCCGTTGGTTTTTTCTGTTATCGCTGCACTTGTCGAGTCACTCGTTTGTTTTCGCTGATAAGCACCAGATGTAGCACCAACTTCACTTATCTTGAGTGTTTGATCGTAAGATTTGGTAGATGCATCCTGATATCTAGCCACTGGCTCGTACTTCGATCGCTCTTGGATATAACTTTTCGACGTACTGAGCTCATACTTTGATGTTGAACCCTCGAAACTCTTGACACCACTGTCGTAACTCTGCTCCTCGTACTTTGATCCGTACGATCTACCTGTATCGTAGGAATCGTAGGCTTTACCGGATGTGTCGTATCGCGGCAATGTTCCATACATCTTGCCAACTGTGTATTTGCTCTCGTATTTGGGATTGGAGCAGGAGCTGAGTTCGTAGGAGGAGTCCCTTGTTTTGATGCCGGACTCGTAGCCACCTTTTGCAAGGGTGTCGTAGTTCTTGCTGATGGGCTCATAGATCTGGCCTACGTGATGTCGATGGTCCTTCTTGGGATCGAGCTTGAGCGTCTCCTCGGCGTACCTCGCTGCGTACTCGTAGTCCGTGAGGTCCCTTGAGTACCTTCTGGTGCTGTCTGGTGGATCCTGATAGCGAACCTTCTGGCCCTCGCTCCTTTCGTAAGGGGCGTCCAGGTCAGACTCCTGATAAGACCTGTCTGCTCGCCTGTCATACCTCAGATTCTCCTCTGGGTATATCCTGTTGTCATATCGCTCCATGTCCTGATCAAATCCACTACCTGGGGCTTTTCTGTCGAAACTTCTTGTGTAATTTCTGTCTCCGTAGTCGATATCGTTGGTCCTCGCTGCAATACCATCAACGTAACCACCCCCAGACTGACCATCCTGAAAGCTCTTCGGCTCGTAATCCATGTAACGTGAGGATCTGCGCTCGGTACCATAGTCCATGGAGCCCTCAACGACGTTTGGCAATTTACTGCTCAAATTCTCACCAGTACCGTTATCAATACCGGTATCACAACTCTCTGCATGCTCCAATAAATTCGGTAGTCTCGATGTCGAGGTACCTGGTGTATTCTCGGTAAGGTCCAACTTCAGTCCATTGTTCCTTCGCATCTTTCAGGATTAACATGATCGATGGCTGATTGTATTTGACCGTTAGCTTGTGCTATTACAGAGGTGAATGGAGCAACGAGTTTATTCTATTATCACGGACAAGCATTGGTGAATGGGTACATTCTCTACTTTACTCCTAATGAAGTCTCTTTGATCCCCTTTTCGGGTGCGTGGGGTTAAGCTGATTAGTCGGTTTGCAGTTGGTTAGTTGGAGGGAGGAGTCGAGAATCTGGAAATAAAGAGAGAGTTTGGTTAATATTGTTAGTTCAAAGGAAAGGTTAGTTAGATGCTGGCATGGACATAGGTGGGGATGTACACTTGAAAGTGTAACTAGTGTCTAAATGTCTATTAAAACGTTTGTATTTTCAAATTTAAATAATTTCAAGTGTCTCGAACTGAGACATTGATACTATAGACACTATAGACATTTTAGGTACTTTATTCAATCTTTGACAAAACTCATCCTCTTTCCAATCGTCTCAATGAATTCACCAATTCATTTTATAAATGACTAGTGACTGAGTAGTCTTCAAGTGTCTTAAATTGAGACAGAAATGTCTTAAATTTGTCGACGCGTATTGAAAAGAATATCCAATTTTAAGACATTCGAAACTAAGACGTCTTGAAAACACAAGTTTTCATAATGTTGTGGCATATTATCTCAAACGACAAAAAATCGTTTTTCATTTTTATGTCTAGACCGAAAAACAACATGAATCGTTTTTGGTTGACCTCTTTCAAGCCCGTTACGGCAATTTTAATCTTCCCCAACCATGGCAGAATATGAAATTGGATACATTGTGTATGCTTGCTAACGAACATGCCAAATTAGATACCACGTCCCTTGAGGATCTTTGAGCTTTGTGGAGATCCAGCTAGAGAGAGATGACGCCCTGCCCCATTTCATCCTTCGTCAAGCGTTACACGCATATACCCAAACCAGAGGGTGGATAATACCGATGATAACGATAATAACGTTATGTTCTGCTTGGGTTAATGATGCACGTAATCCGAAATCTAACTGGAGGTATGGTCTTAGGTACTGTCGATTGTCTAATGCACAATATCCGATTTATAGGTGGGGCTTAACATCTAATGATGTTGGAATTGTTTCGTATTGCTGGCATTCCTGGGGTAATTGGGCTAGCGCTTATTCTTGATGAGTGGAAAAAATTAATTAGCTTTTCAAGAGAGCGACTCTTATGTGAGGTCAGGTGCAAGGAGAAAAAAGAAAGAGAATAACTATCTAAAAATTAAGAAAATCGCACAATTTTCTAGCAAATTTCCTCATAAGAATTATTTTTAAAAAATTACGAGTACTGACCCGGTCACTTTGATAAGCGAAAAAGAAGTGATCAAAGATTCATCTTCATCATTGATTGGGTTTCATGTTCTACATATCATTAATTTTCATAATGCATTTATAAGTGAATGAACTTGAATCCATTTGAAATTTGAATGAGAAGAAAGTTTCTCAAAAGTAAATGAGATCACAGATCAGCGCGCGTCCTGTCTAGCAACAATCAGAATAATATCCATATCATTCCGGGTTAGAAAACAGAAATCCTGTGGCTTGAGTTGTACAACGGTAGTTCAACCAGAGAGGACAGCCTGAGAAGAGGAAGGCGTTCCATCGTCATAAAATTTCCTCGCGACTAAGCTGGAGTAATAAGTACGCCAGGGTTCAAAGGAGATTGCTGTTCCGCATGCAAATATGATTAGTTCCGGAGCGTAACTTCATTTGCGTATATTAAAAGCGCGGATAGCTCACTTTATGCAAACGACAGGGTTGCTCGGATACGAGGAGGGGGCAGGATTGAACGAGTAGACTGTACTGGAATACAGTGCTGGGTTATGCAGCCCAGGTGAAAAGGAAACATGTTTGGGGGGTAAATTATAGGCCGAACCTGTCCGTGTGACGGGTATACACAACAGGAGGTAAAACAACGGGGGAAAAAATTCTGGAAAACAAGACAATGAGTGCGAAGATGAAAGGAAAGGAATGGAGAAAAAAGTGACAAGCGTATTTGTCACGATGAATGGACTACTTTCTTTTTCTTCTCTCATTTGTTTGCGAGGGGGGTCGATACTCTGTGGGGGTTCTTGGATGGTGGCTCAAAGTAATCACGACGGAGAAATACTCCTTTGAATTGGGGGGTGTGATGGCTGTTTAGTGCTAGACTGGTGATCCTTTTTCATCTAAGTTGCAACGACCCGAGTCGAGGATTTGGTTCTGATTCGACGTACACAGGTCTTTCAAGATCTCTCCAGACCTAGATGGACCTGGTAAGTCCTAATCAGTTCTGCGACGTACTTTTCCAGAGACCTTTCGAATCCTCAGTTCTTTTCGGTCCTGAGAAGTCCTCCTCGATGCTACCGAGAACGCGTGATTTTACGAGCGGGTGAAGGGGAAGGCATGTATGCGGAGGGTTGAAATTTGTAGCCAACGAGGAGACA